GATTTTCTTCCTTGTACCCAGGAAAGCATGCTATGCTTCGTCTCCGGAGACAGCAGGAGAAACGTCTCTTGCTGCCCTCTGCTAGTATTCTGATCATCAGTGTCAACGGGGCAGACCTGTTCGCCTTTGGTAGCAACAGAGAAATTGAGGCTGTTCCAGATCGGTCCAATTACAGTTTATGGAGCCTGGCTCCGGAGGAAGGAAAAGATCCTCATAGTCTGCAAGGACTTACTTTCTCCCAGATAGCCTACCTCCTCAAAAGTATCCTTTATACAGTTCCTTGGTTGAGAAAGACGATATTTGAGTTCTGATTCTGTATTTTGCCAATTTTTCTTACAGAGTTTGAGTCTTTCCATTTGTAAATAAGAAACTTGAAAATTAATCATTGGGGGTTTTTATTGAGCTCCATCTCTCTCTAAATTTGCATTCTCTGATTACCTCTAAGATGTGTGGACAAGTGTCTTCATAGCTCTTCTTTTTGAGAATGAGAACAGAGGGAAGAATTAAAGCAGAAACCCCTTCTCATTTTTAAGTTATCCAAGTTTTGCTTTCATTCTGTTCTGTTTTTGTCTTTTGTAAATAAATATAATAGTAATAATAATAATAATAATAATAATAATACTTACATATTTGTTTTATACTGTTTTGTCTCATACCTGTTGGAATGGAAGTTGATTTTCTTGACTTGTGGTTATATAAGTAGGCCTCCCAAACATTTTCGTTATTGGTTATTCCCAAATGTTTCCTCCTCTGAAATCCATGCTCTTATAGACAGAAATGTATTTATTACCTTACAAGCAGGTCTGATCATGATAAAGTCTCTTTCTCAAACACAACTTGGGCTTCTATATCCTAGAGAAAAATCTATATTCACCTGTGATCCTTTCTATCTTTTTTTAAACAAAAAATTTCCACAATTCATAATGCAATTGTTTAAATGTGTTTCACCAACTTGGGACACAAAAACATCATATCACAATTATTTTTCTCACATGATCTTCTATGCATCTCTTTCTCTTGAGACCTCACAGTCCTGAACTTCCCATTTCCCTCAAAGACTATCCTATCCCAAAGAGTAATTTCAGATGTCAGGCATGAAAGAATGAATGACTGGGATGTTCATGTAATAGGCCCACTTTTTGACTTTGGTTTGCTGGCTGGTATTCCTGTTAAATGTAGGTCATATACAAAGGCTATGATTATGTCCCTCTAGTCTCGACTTTTTTTCATCTATATTTAAGCTTAAATATTATATGTATGTTCCAAAAGTACAGTTTTATGATGGTGGGAGTGGCCACACAAAAACTTCCAGCCTTCTATATATTTTCCATCAGAATTAGTTCTGACCCATACATTCTGATTCCTTGTTTAGAAACCAGGAAAGCAGCCTGAGTTCAGTTCCCTCACAGCAAATTCTCCTTTCTGACCTTACTCTGCTGGTGAACATTGTTAATCAGACTCAATTAGTCAACTCTGATAAGTTTCTTGAATTTAAGATTCTAAAGAAGAGAGGTTAGAGGGTGGGGTTGTGGCTCAGTGGTAGAGCACTGCCTAGCATGTGTGAGGCACTGAGTTCAATCCACAACACCACATAAAAAAATAATAAATAAATTTTAAAAATAAATAATAAAATAAATAATAAAAAATAAATGAAAAAAAAGAAGAAAGGTTGGAATCTAGTTTCATTTGTTTCTATGAATGTCCCCAATATTTTTGAAATAATTGTTCTATCCTTTCCCTGGAGCTCTTTAGACCAAGAAGAGTTGTCATTTTAGGAAGATCTGCATGCACCCACCCACACACACACACACACATGCACACACACACACACACACACACACACACACATGCACACAGACTCAGGATTCAGTTACACTTTATCACCAGGCAAGGGAATGTCTGCCAAAGCTGGCCACACAGACAAATACACACACATACACACACACACACACACATACACACATACACACACACACACATACACACACACACACACACACACACACACACACACACAGGGCCTCCTGTAACTATAAGAACCCAGCATTGGCTAGCATCCCCTTGCATGGAGATAAAAAATAACTGAATTTTGATTCTATGTGTGTGTATGTATGCATGTATGTATGTTGTATGCATGTATGTGTATGTGTTTATGTGTGCATATGTGTGGTGTGTTGCAGAAGAGTTGTTTCTATTGTCCTCCCAGTAAAGAACATTTGCTTCATGTTGTATAGATATAAAAATTTCTGATATTGTGTTTAGAAATTACATTTTTATCCAGTACTTACTATCACATTTATATCATTATTTGTGCAATTGCTGATTACTATACCTCTTTCTAGAAGAAGTAGAGTAATAGTTGTATGCATACAGGAAGCATATTATTCTTACTCTTGTTCACAAGCATGATGAGCAGAAACATGATATATGCTCAGAATGTTTTGTTAAATGAATTCACGAAGAACATAGAGATCTCTAAAGACTCCTGTGAAATATAAATTGAGCATCTAAAAGATGAGAGTTAGTAGGTGGAAGGAACAGTATACACAAAATACTGGAAGTGTTTGGCTGGAGCATAGAGTTAGAAGAGGATCGGAAAGACAGAGGAAAAGAACAAAGAGATGAATATCATAAAGAGATCTAGAAACAGTATTGTGAATTTGGACTTTATTCTGTGGGGTTACTTTACAGTGCAAAGAGTAAAATAAAATAATTTTTAAAAAGATTCTTCTGGTTTCAACATGGAGAATGAATTGGAAATGAAAAAGAAAACTGGAGTCTTCTTTAGTTATCTAGTCAGGGAATCACAAAATAAGGGTACTAACAAAATAATAGTAATCAAATAATAATAAAATGACTAAATATATATTTCAAAGATGGAATTTTCAAAGCCTTATTATTAATTATAGGTGGAAGTGAGAGAGAAAGATGAGTCAAGATTAATGTTAAGAGGCTCCTTGAAGAACTAGAAAGATGGCTGTCTGCAGATGCACTGTTTAGTGCTTACCAACATTAATCAGATGTGAATCACTGTATTCAAGTATTGAAGAACATACTGTTTCTAAGAGAGAAGGAGAACAATGTGAGCTGTTCTGGAAGCCCCTTACTAGAAGCCTCTCAGGATCTTGCATTCCCAGTACATTCTTGAATTCTATAGTTCAAGTTTTATTATAAAGGGGCCAGAACTGGGTCAGTCCAAGGCCACCTAGAGAACTATCCTGTAGGTGGCCATCAGAGTAAAAGGAAAAAGATTGGATTCCATTTAAAATATTTATTTTGGATTCCCAAGCAGTTGGCTCTGTATCTAGGAAGCCAGGAATGAGATCTAGAATAGAGATGCAGATTTAGGAACATTCAATATATGCCTCAAAAATGGCAAAAAAAAAAAAAAAAGGATTTTATCTTATGTTTCAACTTTTGAATATTGTAGCACTTTCCTGGAGTGCTGAGTTGCAAAAGGACTTTGAAGCAATATTCATTCATAGTAGGGCACGAAAATAAATGTTAATTGACTAGTGAAGTTTGGCATGCACATGGAAAGAAGTGGGAATGGAGACATATTTGTAGCATTCATCTGTCCTGATCTGGAAGGCAATTAGTGTCATAGTATATATGAGATTATATGGAGCATGTATATAAAATGAAAATGAAAAGCAGTTCAAGTAGACTCCTGAAGTACCCCAATATTTCGGAAGCATAAAAAAATAATGTTGGTTTCAGGG